TATACGTACGGGTCATAATAATATACAAAAAGAATAAATCGTTTATATTAGAAAGTGCACTTTTGAGTTTGTAAAAATATTGGCCTAATAAGGATACATGCTTCCAATTTCAACAACGTTCAGTACATAGTTTTCACAATAAATTTAGCCTCTGATAGTCGTTGCACCCATAAAATCGATCTAGTGGGTTTCTGAGATGGTTACAAAATGTTTAAACAATTGCGTTTTTACTTGGGTTTGGTCCGGAAAATATGTACCAGACAAAATTCATGAGTCATGCGTAATTGTTATTCTTTCCATTCGCTTGTAAAAGTGGGGTATTAATTATAGAAGATTGGTGAAAAGTTGGGGGGGGGGGACAATCGATATGATGTCCCCTCACCCACTTTGAAAAGTAGGGGGAACGCGTCTCCCCTGTCCCCACAAATCGACGCCCACGATTGGTTCCCCCAATGCAATACAACTCACAGTAGGCCTATGCAACTCAGAAATGTGAGGAGAGATGGAAATTTTGGCCGTTCCACCACAAGATTTAAAAAGAGCCCATTGCCATATCTCACAGCCCTTCTAAATTCTTAAAGATATAATTGAATAATTAAAAACAAACTTTATAAATTTACATTAAATTTCTCATAATGGTGTTTCTCCCCCCCCCCTCCACCCCTTCACCTTTCCCGCTGTTTTTGTAGTTCCTTTTGTTGAACTAGGTTCGCTGGATATGCTCCATTAATTGTATGGTCCTTCAAGGCGGACCACATTTGACACTCCGTGATTGAATAAAGATTGAATGTTGAATAAAGATGCCGAGATATATATGATTTCCTTTTATGCTCGAGAGGTAAGTTTAATAGAAACGTATGAATTGATCGGTTTATCCAGGTAATTCACGAAATTACAAGTAGTTTAAATGACCTCAATTAGCCAGCTAACATTTCTTCACTTCCTCATCAGCGTACCTGTAAAAACTCCTAGAAACCACTGATTGTGGAAGTACCAGATCCACAAACACAACATTATTAACAAAATGATATTAATCTCAATTGTATTAATTAAACTATATTTTAATACATCAATATTGAGCATATGGAGAATTTTCTACATGGCTTGGTTATTTATAGCCTGTTTCATAATATGTTGAATACCAGCACATGAGCCTCCTTTAGTACTTTGTACTTATTTTTTTTTGAAAGGAAAAATAATTGATATATGATATACTGTAATTATATTTATAAAATGGTGTCCACCACTCCATGTTTTAGGCTCTGCATCTCCTTTCCTGCCTCTCTGGATATGACCGGTTCTTGTCGATCTTCCTTCTAAGCCCCCATCTTTGGATATTGTTGCTAAGATCCCGAAAAAATCCTGATCCAGATAGGAAGAATATGATGATCGAATCACTAGCCAATAAGAAACTGGAAATTGTAAACGCGTATGTGTGATTGGTTGATGATAGAAGCGTGCTCACTTGCTAACCGATAGCGCTTGCTAATCGTTAGCAGTATCCGGCGCTAACCGATCGGGCGTTCACACGCAGGTCCTAACGGTTAGCGCTAACGGTTAGCTCCCGATCCGGATACTAGGGCTCTCGTGAGAACCAGGCTGTAAGTTTGTGGCTATGTTCTCACACGGCTGCTAACGGTTAGCAGGATCCGGATCCTACTAACCGTTAGCTGCCGTGCGTCCATGCGAGAAAATCCCGATCCGGATACCAACAATATGATGATCGAATCACTGGCCAATAAGAAACTGGAAATTGTAAACGCGTATGTGTGATTGGTTGATGATAGAAACGCCCTCAACTTGCTAACTGATAGCGTTTGCTAACCGTTAGCGGAATCCGGATACCGCTAACCGATCGGGCGTTCTCACGCAGGTGCTAGCGGTAACGGCTTTCTAGGGCTCTCGTGAGAACCAGGCTCCATGCTTATGAGACGCGCGCCTATTCCCAGCACTTTTCTGATTAGTCAGTTGTTAAGTTTGATTGACATTCCGGAATGTCAAATACAGACCACATTTTAAAGACATGCAGTCTATGATGAGCTAAGAAAAAATTTAAAAAAAAAAAAGCAACTTTAATTAAGTTGTAAATAATATGTTGGTAGCTTTCAATAGAAAATTATGAGAAAAATGTCCTCACCACCAGAGGTATAGAGAAAATTTTCCTCACTTTACAGAGG